TCAGAACAGGTTGATTACTGAGCAGATAATGCAGCAACAACACAGGACAAGCGTTGCTTACTAACGGGCTTCTCGTTACTGCAGGCACGCTGTCATGCCATCGCATTCTAGCTGATGGGAGCAATTGGCTATGTTCAAGTGCTGCCAGCCCCCGCTTTGGTTTTGGGTGCCGTGGAATATGCCTGGGTGAGGGATGTTTTATAGCCTGGTACTTTGGGATTTGAAAACCCAAGACCCGACTGTGCTGTCACTGCTATCGTGTGGAAGGCTCATTCCCAAAGAGCTGATCGTGAATCTCGTAGAACCTTTGAGACTCCAACGATTATGAGTGGAACTGAAACTTCTTTGTCATAAATAGGAAAAATTTTGTAGAGCTTGTTTTAAGGGGAAGTCTTGAGAAACTTGTGTTAACTTACAAGGAGAAATGAAGCCAAATTTCTAGTTATTTTTAATCGTAAATTAGCATCAAAGACCCGTTTTTGAGATGTGCTACGTGATAGGAACTGCTCTTCCATTCTGTCAGATTTGTAATAAATAGCAGGTCTTGGATATGAAAAGTAAATGAAGTAAACCGGAGTATTTAAAATGCTTTTTCCTCTTTGTGGCAAAAAATTACTTTCTGAAACGAAACCTGTGGCAATTAGGGTGCTGCTGTAAGTCACAAATCCTGAGCATAAGCCTGAGCACGTTTCAGTTCACGATCCAGCGAGACTCACCACGGCAGCTGGTGTAACTATTACTTTCCATCCTGCAGTCACAGTCTTTCATATTCGGTCCAATCTCCCAGGATAAAAAGGCTTCCAAAGCACGTCAGTGCTGTGCGGACAGGAACGGTGCTAACCCAATCTCCCACCGTCTGGTCTAGTGGAAGGTGTCCCTGCCCATGGATGGGAGGTTGGAACTAGATGGTCTTTAAGGTCCCTTCCAACCCAAACCATTCTGTGATTCTATTACAAGATCTGTCTACTACCTGCACGAACAATTCCTCTGATGGCTAAGATTCTCAGCAGGGTATCCAAGAGGGACAATTTTCAGCCCCAGCTTTGGTTAACTCCCAAATGCTAAGGTTTCTTCACGCATTCAGAGGAGAATTAAGCTGCTGTGCATTTTTTTTCCTATTTAAGTGGCTCCCCATTTAGCTGGCCATCTCATAAATAAGCCGAGGGAGATGAAACTCTTTGATTGTGTCAAGCACAGCTGCAGGTTCACCTAGGAAATGCAAGTTGTAGCATGATCTGCTAAAATGAGGGATTAAAAAAAGGACTGTTAGTCCTCTCCTCTATCCCGGATTTAAATAGCACCTGAATCAGATAGTTCTGTCTCTCTCTGCTGCATCCTAAAGCAGTTCCTGCTTCTCCTGCTTGGACACACCACCCCCTCCATCCTGTTTCCTGGCCTGAGGCTCCAATCTGCTGTTGGCCTGGCAGGGGCTGTGTGTTGCTGATGCTATGTTTTAAGCATATTCACAAGCGTATTTTTATAGGATCAGAGCTCTCGTGATACAAGAAGCATTCCTCCAGCCAGTTTCAAAATCCTTCACCTTTACTTGAGGAGCTGGGGGTGTCGGCAGAACTGAGACCATTTTTGGAAACGGTGACCAGCTGAAGCATTTCTTGCAGCATCAGCCTTAAAACGTTGCTGGTGTCTGCAATTGGTGGACTTGGCATCTCTTGAAAAAGGTGATGGAGCAGGGTGTTTGCTCCCAGAGACCCCAGGATAACTCTTCCTAACAGTGTGCCTGTTATTTTGGTCAAATTTTAAACTTTGTTTCTGCCCATGATTTCTCTGTGGCTTCAGTGGAAGAGGATCTTCTCAAGTTTCTAAATTGTTATGTGGCGTGATTTTCTTTTGTTGAACACCTTTGGTTTCGGTGGAGCTTGCATTGTACTTCAGTACCAAGCAGGAGAGCCCTTAAAATTTTGTCTCTTAGGGCAAATTATTCTCGTTTTCTCTTTCAAATATCTGCTTAGATAATGGGTGTCTGTCTGCTACCTAGCCCTTGCTCTACCTACTTTCTTGTCCTATTCACTTTCAGTTTATAGGCCCCTCAGCAGCTGAAGGGGGAAAGAAATTCTCGGCAAATCTTCATTCAGCATGCACAGGCTTATATTCTCCTACTGTCACCAAAACTGGACAAATGGGCATTGCGCTTCCTCACAAGTCAGTAAAATACTACAGAGTATACTGGGGAATCCATCTGGGAACAAAAAATCTGTGGATTTGGCGAGTTTCCCAGTCACTGCTGAAGATGTGGTTTCCAGAAAAAGTGAAACATGTGCCCAGCCACTACATGACTTTCCCCATCAGATGGTGCTCGAGGACAGATTTATAAGGCAAATCCCTCTCCTGCGAACTCTTTGATGCAACATGAAGGCAAATCCTCTGCAAGCTGCAGTTAGATGGGCTTTTTAGAAAGATCAGGAAGTGCTGTTGAACTACTTTTTGCTTTTCAAGAAAATTAAAAAAATAAAACAGGATAGGAAAAGGCAAACCTCTGACCCAAAGCAGAGGAAGAGCTGAATGAGAAGGGCCGTGCTGGGACACACACCTGCTGCTGTCATTGCTGCTGAAAAGGAGAACACCCAGGAAAGCAGCTCCCAGCCGTGACCACAGTCTGATCAGCAGCAGTGGAGAAGAGCCTGAAAGGGATGGGAGGAGCAGGAGTGAGGAAGGGAGAGAGCACTCGTGAGTCCCCAGAGATTCGTGCTACTGCTTAACAGTGTAACCACGCTGGAGATCTGCCTTGATGCTTGTGTGCTCTGGGTCTCAGAGTGCTTTGGAAAGGTAACAACGAGCTAGCAGGCTCTGAAGCACCAGGAGCTTCCGACCGTATTTCATTAAAACAACCTCCAGTTGGATGTGCTTGTACCATGGGGCACCCACTTCCAGTACCAGTGACCTGAGGATGCACTGTTCTAATGGCCAACCAGCAATGCAGTGAGGTGCCTGAAACCCACATTCACTATTTAAAATTGTGCCATAAAAAAATGACAATTTGGAAAAAAAGAGGCAGCTTTCCCCAGATACAAGCCAATTGCTTGGTCATTATCAGGACATGAATGAGAAAGCTCCACAGAGAGTAAACTAAATGTCAAATGTGTAACATTTCACATTTATTTATTTGGTCAGATTTCAGACAGACCTGATATAAATCACCTAATCTAATCTGCAAGGAGGACGTGGTTTCGAAACTGAAATCCAAACTCCAGGCTTCTTTCTTATCCAGACATGATCCCAGTAATGCAGTGACAGAGCACTCATTGATAATTTCACTGATGGAACATATTTTCCTGTTGAAAGACAAATTCAAATTTCTTTTTAAAGCTTCGTGGCTTTGTTTGAACCCAGTTTTATTTCCAAACGGGAGATGATCATTAAAGGACAGTTAAGTATTGCCTTCTGCAAAAATCATTTGTTGAGAACAGCCACGAACATCTGACTGCGATTTCTAGGGTCTGCATAGCCTTCCCTCTGCAGCTTAGACTTTGCATGTGACACACAGCAGAAGCTTCCACAGCTGGAACAGAGGAAAAAGACTAAAAGACCTGTGCCAATAAAACAGTTTAGGAAGGTTTGCCATTTCAAATACATACGTGAAATAAATGTTACTGAAAAGCTGTTAGAAGAAGGAAAGTCTTAAATCCCCATTTACCAACCCCGCTCACGAACCTTGGAAAGAAATCTACCCTGTGATTTTAAAAGGAAATTCTGATTTTTAATAGTTCTTTCAAAACAAGCTTAAATTAAAAAAAATATTAATCTTATTGCCCACAGATTTAGAAATGTGCATGAAAAAGAAAAGTTCTGATTTCACAGTGTACATTCTTCAATGAAAGTTATCAATCTTGTAACAAGTAGAATGACAGTGATTTCTGCGTTGTGCTGAAATGTGTGTGTGTGCTAACGCAAGCTCAAAACTTAAGACAGATTAAGTGGGACAGAAAGTGGAAATTCCTGAGAGCTACAGTTAAGTATCATTTATTTTCACCCTCCCTTCCCATATGCACTCAAATGGCAGCCATTTACACTCGGATGAAGAAGTCCATGTTTCTTACGGATGTTATTAAGGTGCACAGTGACTTTAACCAATTCCAGGGCCCCGCTGTGCTACTTCCCTGGACAAAAAAATGAGACGGAACATTTTTGTTCCTCAGAGTGCATAGCTCAGACAAAGAAAAGATTATCTTTCCCCTTTTACAGATGAGGAAACAAAAAGTAAAACAAGTTGACCAGGGTCACAAGCGTGAGTGAATGAGCATTCTTGGGTCTCAGTGGTCCCTGACTCAGACAGGAGACTGCTTGCTTTGTCTACGTGCAGCCCTCTGCAACTACTCTACTGTTGCATTTGCACTGCAACCAAGAAACTAAGGTGCAAAAAAGCAATTCTGAACAAGAACATTATTTATCTACTTGAAGTTTTCTCTTTTTAGGGCTTCTGGTGTCCTGCTAGGTGCTCTCAGCTCTTCTCAACGTTAGTGAAAAGTCACGGTAATTCAGATTTCCTTTGGTGATCCTCAGTACCATTCAAAGGTAACATATTGCCAAAAATTCAGAAAGAATTCAAGCTATTCAGGTCTTTTGTCTCTGTTGCAACTCCCTTCTATATTTGTATTTGTAATTCTGCTCCTTCAGCTTCTTCCTCCTCTCCTTCCTCTTTTTCTGTATCACAGCTCTTCGAACAAACTGGGCTTCAGGAATATATTCATTCTTCTTACAAAGTCTGTATGATAGGTGCATTGTGCAGTTTTCAGCATTACTCATATTAAAGCTCTGGTTAAAACAAGTATTATTTGATTATAAATAAAATCTGAAATGCTACAAAATTTTTTTAAGAACCCATTCATCACCAGACTTTCAACAATGATTTTCAATAGATAACTGGGTATTGAACCTGCCTGACTTGGTTCCACAGAAGATGATGTGATAAGGCACATTTCCATCCTATTTTAATAGTGGAAATAATATAATTAAAGCATTCCTATAAGTTACTTATAAAAGAGATTTTTTTTTAATGTCTTCAGCTTTGCAATTGCTGCAGTATTTTTTTCACTTACTTAGTGGCATTGACTTTACCCAAATGGAAGTGGTTAGATCCATATTGAGGCTTCGGGCTTTTTTTTTTTTAATGGATCCCATAGTCTGATCAGATAGTTTAAAATCCCAATCCGATACTGTTTATCACTAGGAGTTCTCTTTTTGCTGTGTTCAGTACGGCTGGTTCTCAGGCTTGGTTCTCTGCCTTTCCCCCTGCGACGCCTGCCTAACTAGCCGTGGCGGTGGCATAGGTCTGGCTGACCCATGGTCTGCAGTCAAATCTTCCCGGCTCAAAGTGCCAAATCTTGGTCTCGTCAGCAGTGGCTGCCTGAAGCCAGTGGATGGCTGAGGCAAGGTGCTTGGCTCCTGCTGTTCTCCTCGTCTGTCCTGGCTCCCGTCAACTTCGTTCTTCCACTCCACCCTAAACTCTGGCGGCGGCCTCTGCTGTCTCAGCCTCTGGTCTCTCAAGATCTTCCCTGCTCTGGGTCTTAGATTGAGCACTGTGGTAGCGGCATCCATCTCAGAGTCACTGCTGTCACCCACTGTTAATTGAAAGCAAAATTAAAATTTTAGGTGGAGAATAATACCGTTTCAGGGATATTCAACTAACAGCACATTGAGTACTAGCAGCCATCGAAGAAAGTTTCCCCACCTTTCCTAAATTCCATGCTTTCTTATTAAACCCAGTAATAGACACTTACCTCTCTGCCAGGACAGAGGATAGATTTGACCTCTCTCCCCTCAAAACTGTAATTTTTAGAAAGGCCTCGCTCAGCTATTCCATATTCGTCAAGTGGCCCGCCTGTTTGATTTGACATTTTCCCAGTTCTGGCTCTGGACATGGAAAAAAACTGTCTGTTTGATCTACCTGAGGTCAAGTCCCCACTTATGTCCAAGCAGGACAGAAAAACAAGATTTCTCACCCTCGCATCCCATGAAATCTAATCTGAGGCATTTCCAGAGCACAACATGTAGAGGGGCTCTAGAAACTTGACCTGGGAAAAAGAGCGTCAGTACTCCACCGTGCAAAGGATCTCCCATGGTCCATGTGCACATGGAAGGAAACATCCTGCCCTTATTACACCTGAATGTAAGATACCAGAGAAAAACCACAGTGCGAATGACACAAGTTGCAAGCGCTGCAGACTCCTTCACCCCCTGACAGCAGAGTAGAAAATGGTCAAGTAACCGCTGGCATCATCATTCAGGGAATGCTCTTAAATGATCACTCTCAGGTAAACCAAGCCGGCAACTTTCCGGATACGTACATGTATATATATTCTCCCCAGCAGACTGCTTTTAAATAAACATCTTTGTCAGAACTTGCACACTTCAGTCACTTTGATAATCATTTTAACATTCATAGAATCACAGGATGGTTTGGGTTGGAATGGACCTTAAAGACCATCTAGT